AATTTAAAGTTTTAGATTTTATTTATAAAATAGCTTAGAATATACTATAGAATATTTATAATATTCTACTTGCAAACAGATAAATAGATAGAAAGAATGAATTAAGTTATTAAATAATATCTTTAATATTATATTAATCAGAAATAGAATAATTAAATTAATCTATTACTTCTTGTATAATTCGCTTATAATAATATGAATATAAGTATAATAAAGAAATTACTATTCTTTATGCTTTACAAATATAATCTAATAGCTTATTATAAGATACTGCAAGAAGCAGATGTAGAAGCTGCAAACAAAAGAATTAGAAAAATCAAGAAGATTCAAGAAAAACTTCAGTTAGAACTACAATTTGTTTAAGAATGAATAATACGCTATACAAACTCCAAAAGAATTGAAAAATCAATCTTATAAAAGAAAGATAAAGTATATTTACTTTGCAAAAATATCAAAATAATCAGGCTTAGCAGTAAACTCGATTATAAGAAACTAGAATTATTCAAAATTCTATAAAAAATCTTCTCAGTTAACTACGAACTTGTACTATCTCATGAAATAAGAATATATCCAGTTTTCCATATCTTACTGCTGAAACTAGCAGTATAGGAAATACTAACAGATAATGCAGCAGAAATAAAGAATAACGAACTAGAATACAAGATAGAAAAAATTCTTAAGCATAAAAGCACAGATAATACAAGAGAATATCTCATTAAGTGAAAAGATTACTCAGCAAATGAAAATTCATGAGAATTACAGAGGAATGTTGAAAATGCTTAGGAAAAGATAGCTGAATATTGGAAAAGGAAAGCTAGCACCTAAGATAATCGCTCCGCCCCGAACCGAGGTCCAGGGGCCTCAGAGATCTCGCCCTCCAGGAAACCCGACCAATTCACTACGGAATTCCTCACATCTACGGAATTCCAGTCAAAACCTCCAGAAGAGGGATCCCCAGGAACAATCACGGGCTCTGCAGAAACCACAGCTTGCACCTCAGCCGCTATGCGCTCGCGCTCCTTCTCCTCCAGGCCCTCATTCACCAATTTTATCCTCTTCTCCTGAAGGAAGCATCGCTACTTCTTCAGACGAAACAAACGATCTAGGGACTCGGATAAATAAGCCTGAGCATCCGCCAGCTCTTGCTGATGCTCCAGCAAACACTCCTCCTCCTCTACCTCCCTATTATCCAAACGAACCAACTCATCAGTAATACGAGATACTAAGGCAGTACCATTAGCAAGAACTAAGAAAAAGGAAAGGAAAGACTTACGAGAAGATATAAGGATTCAATCAGCATTACAGGAATAATCTCGTTTCGTATACTGAGAACAGCTCTTGATCCCATCCATCATCTTACATCGCACCCCCTCCTCCAGATACAATGAATACAGCATAACTTTGTAGCCAGTGAACTCAATATACGAATAACGCTCGAGATGATGAAGATGCGACTTCGAAAAAGTAATGAAAGCACCAGAAGAAGATTTACCAACACGGGAATTTAAGGTTCTGTTCGACATAACGAATTAGAAAGGCATAACTATGCATGCAAAGAACTTGCTAGAACAAGGAATAACTTACAGAAGAACTTTCGGGACGAAAGATCACAGAAGGGAGATAATGTTATGAACCAATAAGCACTAACACCGGACAAGATTATAAGGACTGGCTGACGGAACCAGCGGGGCTGGGATACATTAGGAAAAACAACTATGATTACATAATCAGGGATTAGAGCTAAGAAAGTCCAACCAATTAGATAATAGAGCGATCACTAGTGATTACCAGCGCTCAGTAATTAGTAATAATTCGAAATAATCAGTGGTAATCTAGGATGATTATCAGCAAGCAAGGAACTAAAGAATCAAGTATATAAAGGTTTACATTTCTTACTGTCAGATAGATTTCCTTCAGATAGTTCTTTAGTTATTAATCTAAGTATTAGATTACTCTCTACTCTGATAGTTCCAAAGGCAGTGAATACTTGCATCGCTTACTAAGACTTGTACAGTTCCGTATTCAAGAACTTAGCACTTTGATACCGCTCTTGTTAGCATAAACCCCCTTTGTATACTTTGGAATCTTCGGATTGCTGCAGTGCTCATTACATTAGCAGAACTATTAATAAAGGAAATCCTAGTATAATACAGAACAGCTAACTCAATTTCTTATTATTTATTACAAAACAGATTTTATGCATACTTTACTTACAAACTGAATCTTCTTTAAGCATCTGAATCTTCTTAATCTTTACAATATTGTCTTCTGCAGAATATAGAAAGCATTCCAGCTATAGTACTCTCAACTCAAGAATCTTGAATCAGGAAAACAAAGAAATATCGGAGAAAGTAATAATCAAGAGAGAAGATAGCTTTTATATCTGAGAGCTCTTTCAATCAGATACTCAGTTCAGCTAACTATCTAGCTAATAATTATTATAATCAGAACTTCAGATTCCTTTCTTATAATAAGCTTGCTGATAATGAGTTGATATTATTTGCTTATATTGTTGTGGTGGCCAGGGTGGTAGTCCGTGGAACGTGGAGTACAGTGGGTCAAGGGTCCTCATACATATAAAGGATACCACCCACTTTTCAAATTCTTTAGCTATAAGCAACGGAAAAAAAAAAAAAAGCATCCTTTCTCTTCCTTTCAATTTTGAACCCTTTGGACAGGTCTAAGACAGGTTTTTCACCCTGTTCTTGTGCCCGTGTGGCCTTAGTTTGCTGTCCTCATCTGCACAGGCACGCTTGGGTTGCACAAGCCCTTGCCCATTGCTTCGGCAGCTGTTTGTCCCTTTTTCTTTCGAGGGCGACGGCGCCCTAGTTCTGGTTCAATATAGAAATCTCCTTATAGCTAAAGCAATTCAACTAGTAGCATTAGATTAAAGAGATTGATAATATTTAAGTATTCAACTTCATAAAAAGCTTTTATGCAAATATAATCATTGCTGAAGAAGTAGAGAAATTCATTATAAGCGCTAAAACTTGAAATGAACAGAAGAAGCAACTGTTAGTTACTTATTGCTCTTGAAACCATCTTCAAGCATATACTTCCAAGCAGAAGTGCTTAAATATTATTAATAACTGTTTTATTATTAATGCTGCTAGCTTCTAATTATTTATTATAAACTATAATAATATTCTTACTCATCTTAAGATCAGAAATAATTAATCTATAGCAGAAGTATAGATAAAGCTTTCTTCAATCTAGATTAAGCATTTCCAAGCTAACTATAATATTACTGCTGAAAGCATTAGCAACAAGAAGTAGCTTTATCTTATGAAAAAGCTGTTAGAAGTTTATTATAAAGCACTTTAGAAAAAGACTTAAGACTAACTTGCTTCTAATACTATTAATCTTCAACTTTATTGTCAGGTGGAAAGGTTGCAAAGGCAATGTGGCGAGGTCTTTCTCTCTTTCAGGGGCATACAACCAGAATAACATTGAGGCCTAAGGAGCTAAGTTCTGCTCAGCAGTGCTGATGTGGCTAGAAAGCCGCTTTATAGCCGCATATTGCTTAGTCATCCGTAATCCAGCTGGCTTAGCTGGCTCTGAGCCTTGCTGGCACAATCGGCCCTGACAGATTGTCCCCCCTTATCAGGCCTTGTCCTCAAGGCCTTTGAGGCTTCCAAGCTTTCGTTGCTTCCAGGCTTTCGTTGCTCTCAGGCTTCCGTTGCTTCCAGGCTTTCGTTGCTCCCAAGCTTCCGTTGCTTCCAGGCTTTCGCTGCTTCCAGGCTTTCGCTGCTTCCTAGCTGCTCCTACGCCTTCTCAATGCTTCAGGCTCTTAAGATCTCTCAGTGCTTCAGGCTTCTCAAAGCTTCTCAAGATCCCTCAGTGCCTCAGGTTTCTCAAAGCCTCTCAGATCTCTCAGTGCTTCAGGCCTCTCAAGGCCTCTCAAGATCTCTCAGTGCCTCAAGCCTCTCAAGGCTTCTCAAGATCTCTCAAGGTCTCTCAGTGCCTCAAGCTTCTCAAGGCTTCTCAAGATCTCTCAAGGTCTCTCAGTGCCTCAGGCCTCTCAAGGCCTCTCAAGATCTCTCAGTGCTTTAAGCCTCTCAAGGCTTCTTAAGATCTCTCAGTGCCTCAGGCTTCTAAGCCACTCAAGGTCTCTCAAGGTCTCTCAGTGCCTCAGGCTTCTCAAAGCCTCTCAGAGTCTCAGGCTTCTCAAAGCTTCTCAAGATCTCTCAGTGCCTCAGGCTTCTCAAGGCTTCTCAACCATCTCCCTCCTTCTCTTCTGGCTTCGTTCCCGAAGCCTTGTGAAAAAAAAAAATCTCTTTTTAATCATATTCCAGACGTAAGTCTTCCGAATGCAATACCCGCGCTATATACGCTGCTCAGTCGCTGCTTTCTCAGCGCTTTATTCAGGCACTTTTCAGAACTTAAAGCTGTTTAATGTAGATTGCAAGCTTTTTATTAGGGACTTGGTTTGCAGCTAAGGAGCCTAGCATTCAGAACAGTATTTCTGCAGCTATAATGGATAATTATAGCTTTCCATCTTAAGAGTTACTCTCTAGTAACTCTGAAGCTGTTGCTATGCTTCGCTTTATTGCTAAGTGCAGAAGAGTAATTAGTTTGCAACCTAATATCCAAGCAACTTCAGTTATCAAGCGGATACTCTGCTTCAGCTCTGTACTCTTGCTCAAATAGCAAAGAGCATACTCTCGAAAACAGAAGATACTTAGATTTACTATTTACTTACTCTACTCTCTTGCTTGAATAGCGAAGAATATACTCTCGAAAACAGAAGATATTCAGATTTACTGCTTGCTTACTCTGCTCTTTCGCTTGAATAGCAAAGAGCATATTCTTGAAAACAGAAGATACTCAGATCTATTGCTTGCTTACTCTGCTCTCTTGCTTGAATAGCGAAGAATATACTCTCGAAAACAGAAGATACTCAGATCTACTGCTTGCTTACTCTGCTCTCTCGCTCGAATAGCAAAGAATATACTTTATTCTAGCTTAGCAACTCGAATGCTCTGAATCTCTTCTAAATGCTTCTTGCATGCTACTTGCATACTGCTTGCTTGCTATTTGCTCTAGCTTAGCAACTCGAATGCTCTGAATCTCTTCTGAATACTTTTCGCATGCTGCTTGCATACTGCTTGCTTGCTGTTTGCTCTAGCTTAGCAATTCGAATGCTCTGAATCTCTTCTGAATACTTCTTGCATGCTGCTTGTATACTGCTTGCTTGCTATTTGCTTTAGCTTAGTAACTCGAATGCTCTGAATCTCTTCTAAATGCTTCTTGCATGCTGCTTGCATACTGCTTGCTCGCTGTTTGCTCTAGCTTAGCGACTCGAATGCTCTGAATCTCTTCTGAATGCTTCTTACATGCTGCTTGCATACTGCTTGCTTGCTGTTTGCTCTAGCTTAGCAACTCGAATGCTCTGAATCTCTTCTGAATGCTTCTCGCATGCTGCTTGTATACTACTTGCCCGCTGTTTGCTCTAGCTTAGCGATTCGAATGCTCTGAATCTCTTCTGAACGCTTCTCATATGCTGCTTGCATACTGCTTGCTTGCTGTTTGCTCTAGCTTAGCAACTCGAATGCTTTGAATCTCTTCTGAATGCTTCTTGCATGCTGCTTGCATATTGCTTGCTCGCTGTTTGCTCTAGCTTAGCGACTTGAATGCTCTGAATCTCTTCTGAATGCTTCTCGCATGCTGCTTGCATACTGCTTGCTCAATACTGCTTGCTTGCTGTATTCAAGGCTCGAAAGCTCGAAAATCGAAGGCTTGAAGGTCAAAGGCTCGAAGGTTAAAAGCTCGAAGGTCAAAGGCTCGAAGGTCAAAGGCTCGAAGGTTCGAAAAGAATAGTAGTCTGATCGTTTGCTCTGCTCCTGCTCAGTGTTAGCGCTGCTCCTAGGGAAGAAAAAAAAAAGATAGAAAGCCTCGCCGGATTGCTTCCTTTAAAAGAGCTAGGCCTCAAACTGTCAGGTGGAAAGGTTGCAAAGGCAATGTAGCGAGGTCTTTCTCTCTTTCAGGGGCATACAACCAGAATAACATTGAGGCCTAAGGAGCTAAGTTCTGCTCAGCAGTGCTAACGTAGCTAGAAAGCCGCTTTATAGCCGCATATTGCTTAGTCATCCGTAATCCAGCTGGCTTAGCTGGCTCTGAGCCTTGCTGGCACAATCGGCCCTGACATTTATTAACAAGCTTAATTCCAAGATTCTTCTATATCTTCATCTTAGCTAGTTCTTAATTAGATACAGCTTATTCCTATTCTATATCTAATATATAATACTTCCAATTAACTAATGAATTCATTGAAACAAGTAATAGAGCTATTATACTATTAATTGCTTTAATAATTAATTTGTAATTAGCAAGCTTAGCTTGAATTAATTAAGCAGATCTTGAAAGCTAAATCTGCTTAGAAAAGCAACTAAGAATATAATCAGTTAGCTTTAATAATAAAGCAATTCTATATTAATCAAATTGTAATAGCAAAATTCTTAAAGCTATAAACTAATACTTTTAAATAGATATAGAATATCTTATATAATCAAACCAAAGCTCTATAGAAGATTTTATAACTGATTAAGTATTTCTAAACTATTTCTGCAAGAAATTCTTCTCAGAGAAATGCAAATTCCTTGCAGATAAGTATTATCTATACAAGTTCAGAGAATGAAGGAAAGCAGTACTCTGAAGTATAGTGTTATGACTCATTCAACATGCAGGTCACGAAACAGGCTCCGCCAACAAGGAACCAGGTATCACAACCTAACATCGGACAACCACCAGGAATTACATAAGCAAGGGTTAGGGTTGGATTACAATAATACAGGTGAGCTGCTCACTGAATCACTACAACACAGATCACGGATCACGGTAAGCTGAGTAAGCTACGATGAAGAGCTGGATATATAAGAACACATTCATTACCAACTAGATAAATCATTGTACATAGCTCTTCAGTTATCAATCTAAGTATCAGATTACTCTCTATTCTAATAGCCCTAAAAGCAGTAAATACTTGCATTGCTTATTAAGATTTGTATAGTTCCATATTCAAGAATTTAGCACTTTAATACTGCTCTTGTTAGCATAAACCCTCTTTGTATACTTTGGAATCTTCGGATTGCTGCAGTACTTATTACATTTTGATAATTCTTGTTCAAGAATAGTTCAATATTACTTCCTTGAATAATATAGAATATAATAGCTTCTTTAGAAACTTCTTTGTTCTTATATGCTTCTATTTAGAAAGAATTGATTAATCAGATATACTAGCTTATTCAATATATTTAGAATCTGTATGAATAATAGCAGGCTTAAAGCGCTATTATTGCTAACTAATAAGCTTAGCTAGCTTAATAAGCTTAGCAAGCGCAATCTATTTCTGCAATTACTAGTAGCGCTGAAAAAGCATATAAAATGAACAAACTCGCTATATATAATGATAATCAGAAGATGCTATATAGATTCCTTATTTATTGCAGAATATACTTCTTGCATTATACAATTCAGTTTATTATAGAATCTAAGAAAGTTATTCTAACAGAAACTTATTTTGAAAAAAATGCTCTTATCTAATATAAATCTTCTCTATATAATCACTTGAAGTATTAGAACAATTCTGATATATATATTCAGAATATCAAGAATATATTTAATTCTTTTGAAAGCTTTAAGAAAGCTCTTAAGAAAATCTTTAGTAATTCCAATAAAGAATGCATTATAGCTTAGCAGCTTATAGATTTTAAGCAGACTAAATCAGCTTCTGCTTATATAGTTAGATTCAAGCAGCTTTTAGCAAGACTTTTATAAGAAGATAAAAATCTTATAAAGTATTATTATAAGGAATTCAAAGATAATATTAAAAATAAAATCTCTAAGCAGAATTAGCTGAAGAACTTTGTAATATTCTCTAATCAAGCTATTTGTATTGATAACTATTTATATAAATAATAAGTAAAGAAGTTTAAGAAGAGAAAAAGCTAGATTTAGAGATTTCCAGCTAATATAAGCAAGAAATTCTAAAACAAGAATAGCAGTTAATATAGCAATATAGCTTAGAGCAGTATTATACATACTAATTCTATGAAACTCAATACAATTAACAGGCAGTATAGCAAGAGAAATAGTATTACTTGCTATAATTGCAATAAATAAGAATATATTGCATATAATTATTATCAACTCCGAAAGAATAAATAGCAACTAGTTTAGAAAGAATGCTAGATAAATATTGCTTAATAATAGAAACTTAATTAACTAAACAAAAATACTTTCTTAAAGTAAGTATCAGATTCTATTAATTACAGAAGTTTTAGCTGAACATTCTGCTATAATAATAACTGCTTAATATACTTCTCAAGTAAGAAAGAATCAGAATAGTTTCTTCAGAAGCTTTAGTACTGCAAACAAATAGCAATAATAGAGCAAGAGTGCATGCTCAGCATTCTCATAAATAGTAATTCGAACTGCTTTAATATTGTGAAATAGAGCATTCAGATATTGAAAGAAGAGCTTAGCAATAATATTCTTCAATATTCTTTATTACTTATACTAAGCACTATAACTAGAAATATGAATAAAGAATAATACTCTCTTAATTATTAGTATAAATATTTAAATAATATCGAAAATGCTTTTTAAGTAATAGAAAGATTAAGCTAGAATAAGCAATTCAATAGTTTATCAGAATTTCTCATAAATAATAAATCCAAGAAACCTATAGAAAGATTTCTCTTTAGTATTGAGTAGAATAAGGAAACAATATAGATTGAATATCTTGTTTATAAAATAGGATTAGAGAAGCTCTTTATCTGCATTTCCTTGCAAAATATTAAAGTATAAGAAAATAAGAACTCTCGGATTAGCTTACTTTACAATCTATACTACAAATTAGCATAAATCTCTTATATTTATTATAGCTATAGAATGCATTTCTCAGAGAAGATGCAATATAAATAGTTCCCTATTAGAGAATTAAAACAAATTCTTCAAGCTATTAAAGAATAGGAACTCCGCTTCAGAAAGATTCTTAATAAGCAATATTATAATACATATATTAAGCTACTGAATAATTGCTTTATATAATATATAGATAAAAAGATAGAGTGATAGCAGTATAAGATAATACTCTGTATAATTTATATTAATAATAAAGTTTGCAACTAGCATTGATAGAAGAAAGATTAGAAATAATAATAATACAAGCAAAAGCAAGCTAAGAAGCTTACTCAAGAAGCAGCAAAGCAAGCTTAGAAGAATAAATAGTTCTTAATGAATTCAAAAGAATAGAATTGCTTGTAAAGAAATTGCAGATAATTAGATTAAAATAGTTTTTATATAAAGCTTTTAGGATAGATTATGCTTATATTAAGTTCAATATATATATTTAAGAATATAGATATAGCGTACTATTAGATAGTAATGCTTAAGAAAACTTTATATTTTCATATATTATTAATTAAGCATAATTATAATAGAAATGAAAAAGATGCTTATATATTCTTAGTATTATAGAAGAATAATCTGTTGCATATAACTAAGAAATAATTAATAAGAAGACTAATTATCTATTTATCTTAATTCAGAAATATACAATTCAGATTTCTTTTGATATTATAGATATAGCATAATATAAGCTGATTATGAAACTTCTATAGCTTAAGAAACATAATTCTTAAATCAATTGAACTATTAGCTAAATCTTATGGAAACAAGCTGTATTCAGAGAAATAGTTACAATTAACAATGCAGAACTGAAGCTAGTAATTGAAGAATACTCAGGAAAAGAAGCTTTATATAGCTTCATACATATTTTCAAGTTAGCAGAGCTAGCAGTTCAAGGAGAAGGATCTAGTAATAAGCGAACTCAAATAGTACTAGAGTGCTAATAGATTAGCAAAACAATGAAAGCGAGATTCTTAGCAAGTTAGTTTATTCCGAAGCGATAAGGAAAAGCTTTAGAATATGAATTGTAGATTTATATAGAAAAAACCTCGAAATCAGGCTCTCAAGCGCTTAGTTCAGCTTAGAGCGAACATTTAAAGCTTTCAAAAATATTACTAAAAACAACAAATAAAAAGAAGCATGCTTAATAATATCTATTATTCCTTCAGATAGCAGAAATAGTATAAGAATCAGAATTAATACTTGCAAATATATTACAAGAATACTATAAATTTGAGAAATTATTCCAGAGAGAATTGGATATAGAATTATCGGAATACAGCTCATATAATTATAAGATTCTGCTATAAGAAGAAAAACAGCCTAAGTTCTTTCCTATTTATAAACTAAATAAAGTATAATTAGAAATATTTAAGAAGTATCTTAATAAGAATCTTAAGAAGGAATATATATAATTATTATAATTATTAGCAGAATATTCTATTCTATTTATACTCAAAAAGAATAGCAAGCTTAAGCTATATATTAATTATAAGCAATTCAATAATATTATAATTAAGAACTAATATTTATTGCTACTTATTAAGGAATTATAAGATAGATTATAAGAAGTATAGTGATTTATAGTTCTGAATCTAAAAAGAGCTTATAATCTAATTAGAGTAAAGAAAGAAGAAAAATGGAAAACTGCTTTCAGAATATGCTATGAATATTACAAATATTTGATTATGCTTTTTGATTTAATAAATGCTTCAGCTTCATTTCAGAAAATAATTAATTATATTTTATACAAGCATCTAAATCAGTTCATTATTGCTTATCTCAATAATATTCTTATCTACTCTCGAATACTTGAAGAATATAAGAAATATATAGAAATAGTATTGCAAATGCTCTAAAATGCAAAACTTCTTATGAAATCCGCAAAGAGTTACTTTTATATACAAAAGGTTAATTATCTTGGATTTATAATTAAGTTAGAATGCATTAAGCTATAGAAAGATAAAGTAGAAGCTATTAGAAATTAGCTAATTCTCAGGAATATTAGAAATATTAGATCTTTCCTTGAATATATTAATTTCTATAAGCAGTTCATTAAGAATTATAGCTGAATTGCATATTTTCTTACAA